CCCGCACCCACATCCCATACCCACAGCCACACCCACCCACACCCACAGCCACACCCTTTTTTCCCGATAAGTATTCAAATAATAAGGATCGATACTATTCTGGATGTTCCTTGCTCAATGCTATGAGTGTCCGAACAGAAACTTGTTTATCGGACATTTTGATCTGAAAAATGTAAGTCATTTGAACAAATCAAGAGTTTTGTTTTTTGGTGATATATATACAGTGACTACCGAAATCACGCGACGCCAACTAAGGAATGTGGGTGTGTATGCTCAATTCTATGTCTTTTATTCAATGAAAGCAACATTGACGCCCATTCTCACAGTATCTTTTATGCCTATTAAAGATTCTAACTAAACATCCACTCTGGATATCGAAAGTAGAGTTCTAGGTGGAGGTGCACAGGGTGTGAACAAAATGCTAACATTGATACTCATGCCCACACCCTAACCCTAACTTTCGTCGTTTTTCGCAAATAAATGGTTTCTCTCTCTTTATTTTCTAAATGTAAAAGTTGAATTCATCTTTAATGTTGAGAGAATAAAGGTTTTCAAAAAGTTTTTGATATTTGATTTATAAATATGAAGATTTTATTGATATTTATTTCTTAATACAAAAACCAATAAAATAAAGTAACACCTCTAACCCGTGCTCAAACTCAGCAAGAAAAACAGTAGTAGATCAAGCCATGTTTCACAACCAAAGAATCATCACGCATTACTCTATTTACTGGAACTTCCAGTTGGAAAGACGAAATACCTTTATTGAGTTAAAGATCTAAACTAAAAAGAAAGCAAAAGTACCAACCATTCATTAACACCAAAAAAGTAACCTGTCAAATCTGCTATAACCGACTGGCTATCAGATCCAGTCTTCATCATAACCATCACGATCGGCAGGACCAACAGGATTAGTGGCACCATCAATACCGGCAAAGCACTCACGACCTATACGAAGAAGAGCAGCAGAAGCATCGCTAAGAACACTGTCATTACGAATAGCATTATCAAGAGTAGGTCCAATAGCAGCATCAGAATGGTGAGGGCCAAACCTAGTAAGAACAACAGAAGCAGCAAGAGCGCGAATGCGAGCAGCACGAAGAGCGGCACGATCAGGAGTAAGACCATTACCAGCAATAAAAGCTTTAACATGACTAATAGCAGCATCATAGGAATCAACACCAGCAAGAGCATCACGACGAAAAGCATCACGAGCAGCAGTACGAACAGCAGCATCAGAATTATAAGAAGTAAGAGCAGCAAGACCAGCACAACGAGCAGCATCACGAGCAGCATCCTCGTCAAGATGGTTGCGAGCAGCATGATAAGCACGAACAGCAACAGTAGCAACAGCATGAGTGCGCCCAAGATCATAAGGAGTTGAATCAGCATCATTAACCAGAAGATCATCAAGATAATAAATAGCATCAGTAGTTGTGTTTTGCAGACTAGATTGCATCGTGTTACTGCCTAGATGATCTTTGTCAGCTCCTAGATGAGATTTGCAAAATATGGCATTAATTTAATGAAGTTTTTCTCCAAAGCATATAGCTTAGTGATAGCATTTAAATGGGGTATCAAATATATAAATGGGAAAAATTCTTACATTGTGCTAAGGGAATCCGATTGTTAACGTATGGTAACGCCAGTACTGACAAGTTTGTCTCTATCGACATATATGGATCAGTCTTGCTTCGTTCAGAATGGGGTGAGATGTATTTCTCCATGTAGGCGGTGTCGTTTTCGTGGTTCAATAAAAACAGCGTAAATGTGAGTCTGGGAACGATTTGTTGAGAGAGAAATAATAAAATCCATATCTATACATCTAAGCACAGTCTTTCCAAAATGAGCGTTCATCTATTCCTTATTATATGCATTGCTCAGTTCCAGATCAAAGACGCAGCTAGTAAGATTTTTTCTAGAATGATATCGATATGGGTATAAAATGGTTATACCTGATCGCACCACCGACCGGTCTGAAAAAGATCGCTTCTAACGATCGGTAAGGAGTACTACATCGGACTAAAACGAATCGGAACGGGCCAACCGCTTACTTTTACCGATTACAACTTAGTCTCACATCCGTTGTTATTTAAACCTTATCAAGCCTGTATCTAAGAGATATTCTCGTTACCTCTTTTTTTTGTATCTTATGTGATACTGAGCTTTGTATCTTTATAATCCAGCTTTCATTATATCAAATTCTTTTAACTCTATAATTTCTGAAATCTACCTTTATATTATGCTGTTATGATGAAGATAACTAAAGCTTTTGATTTTTGTGCTAGAGAAAATTTCGTATTGATAGTATCTTGGAGAATATTGAAAGGTTTGTATACAGCTGTTCTCCTTTCCCTAATTATGAATTTGTAATAATTTTAACAAATTTAGTAGCAAAAATTTTGAGAACAGCAGAAAATTGTTTTTTGAATTTGATACCCGAGAAAAACTAGTAAGCCAAAGCTATTGATTATCAACTCTTCTTTTCAGGTATGTTTATTCAAAATCCTGTAGTAACTGCACATGAATGGGACATCAAAAGTATTGACCTGAATGGTTGCAGTTGGTTGGCATGAGCATGAAGAAGGTCTACATTTGATATGACACTGTTTTCTATTTTTCGGAATTGAGTAGCATTGATAAAATTCTTCGTCAAGGCTTATTATTACGTATATTCTCTTTGTTGATTATGCCACTTCATGAATTGATATAAGTCTCTTTAGGATAGTTATCTTATTGTCTGTTTCAACTATGGGGCAGGCTAAGCTTCTAACTTCAGTTTCACTTGATTTGGTATCGCTAAAAGTTTCATTAAGCTAGAGTGTGGGTGTGGATGTCGGTGAATGTCAGTTAAAGAAACACCCACACATCCACCCTTTCTTATTGATAGTACAGATACATGTCATGGTACTCATTATGTCCTAATAGTATCGATCATAAAAAGTGAGGATTTATTAACAAAATTTCAAGAATCACTTTGCATCACCCCAGAAAGTTTACAGTTCTCTGTTCAAGTCAGCAATGAAGACTTGAAAAGAGTTTTTCGTAACACGGTTCCTATGAACATGAGATGCAAGTAGTTCTTTATGAGGGCTAAAAATATCAGCTCATTGACTCTCAACATGACGAAGGTGTACAAAATTTGATTTGACTAATGCAGCGGTCACAGCAGCCTTTCCTTTTAGCCAGGAATCAGGAGAAGATTTTTAGAGAAAAAAATCAGGAAATTAGGATTGACGAAAACTTATTGGAATAAGCCCATTCATGCCTTCAGAAAATTCAGGTGACTATAGAAGATCAGTTTGTAAACTCAGTTGAGTAAGAAATATGAAAAAGAAACATAAATTTGGTCTCAAAATTGAGAGTTCAATAAAGGGCAGATTAAAATTTTGAATGACTATCAACAAATCTCTAGAATCACAGCAGTTTTATCACTTTTCTGGAAAAAGTTATTTTCCAACTTTTATGCTACTTAAGTGAGAAATGAATGGTAAATAGTTTTGGTCAAACAAAACTGCCCATCTACATAGAAAATATTGTAGTTTTAGGTAGTCTACTATCAACATTTGAAGAAGGTTTCAAAGTGACTAAATGATTTCGACGTCAGATTTAATCCATTAATAGAGAATCACTCGATTAGTTCGAAATTTAAATAATTCGTCTGCTTATTGAGATTTGACCGAGATGTGTCTCTTCAAATCATCCAAGTTTTCATTGCTATCTTATTAAGCGTTTTTTGTATAATAAGTATACAAAATCTTATGTTTCGAAAATTTAGTATCTCTCTTGAATCTCTTTTAACGGATGAAACATTTAAAGATTCAGGTAAGATAGCTGTTCCAATTAATTAGCAATAGTATACCTATAATGTTGCTAATTAATCGGGAATCTTTTTGGATGCGCTTAGGAAACCGTTTCGATCTCCAACATTTTTATCGAAATGGAGAATTTTTGTCATCAAAACTATTCAAATAACCATTGTTCTCCTAACAAATTAGGACAAAAAGTTCGAAAACAAGTTTTTCTAGAAAGTGATTAAAGCTTCATGGATTTATCTTTGATGATTCGGTTCAATTATGTTATGAGCAATTTTTCACATTACTAAAACCTAGCATCTCCAGAAATTGATTCATGGTCAACCAGTCGAGATACTAGATGCTTCACTCGGTTGCGAAATTTTAAACAAACTTGCACTTGCTGATTTATTTTTTTTCTTACTCGGCGATAGAACTCGATCTTTTGATAAAAAGATGATTATTTCCGTGTATTTACAGATCCTAGGCGTATGCAGAGTTTTTTAAGCGGGGGAGGGGGCACCATTGAAGGAAAGAAATCGTCACAGTAACAAAAACTTTTCAGTTGACGAAAATTTAGCTGCATGTACCTCGTGAAGAAAAGTTCCTTCGAAGGATGAGGCTCTTCATTCTCAATTGGATATGCCACTGTTACCGACATTCTTCAATTCAAATATAACGCTATATCTATTCTTTTAACAACATAAACAAGATGATCATTCAAAAAGCAATATCATCAGTAGTTCAGGACATCATCTGTAAAATACATCTGCATAACCTAAACTAGTATTGCCAAAGGAAAGGGTATCATTTTGATACACAACTTTTATAAAATCAGGAAATCAGGACCACTGCGAGGCCTGTTAATGATTTTCTAAACACCCTGTCTGCTAGAAACGTGATTATCAGGAAGACATGGTAAAAAAGTAATGAAAGTGATATGTATCACTTCTGTTCAAGAGAATTCAGCGAAAAATTATATTGTCTTACTGTTGTGTCTTTGATGAAGACTTATATAAATCAAGTGTTTATTATTTTTTTTGTCAAAATCCACTTGGTCAATTGTGAAGCAGACACTGGGAAATAGTAGTTCTTCTTCTTCGTCAGGAATATTTGAAAATGGCTGAAGATTCACAGTAAAAGCAACGCGCACGTTCATGATAAATAAGACATTTCCGAATATTTCAGCTATAATTCGAGACCGTGTACATGAAGTGAATGCTTGAAACGAATATAATGGTTTGGGATTTCCCGAACAACTATTTTTGAATGAGGTAATCAAGTCGTCTGGAAGTTGAGCTCCACGATAAAGTATTGTGCCTGGTTCTGTCATCTTACTGTTGAATGGATTATCCCATAGAAGCAAGCTGAACGGACCTAATGTGTCTACTTTATTACGCCAGACAAGTTCGTGCTCTATGCTTCCTATCAATCGCATGGTCTCATTTAATTTCCGATACAAGAAGCTATCGAGTGTATAGAGATAAACACAGCACTTCCATACTTCTTTAATTCCTGCTTCTTTATTTTCCATCAATTTCTCTGCCAGCTTTTCTGCCTCACGCTGTTTTCCGATCATCTTGCCTTCTTCGATGATACCCAAAGCAGCTTTTTCTACGATCAGTGGAACGATTACTTCATTTTTCGAAGGTAATTTTTCTTTTGTAAGATTCAAATTCTTTACTATTTCTTTTATAAATGGTGAGATAAATCCGTACTGACTACCGAAAGGAAGTTTAGGAGCGACAGGATTAGGCATATATCTATCCTTTCGCCGGCGTATGTCATATGTATTACACAACTCGCGTTTGATGGTTTGTTGTTTATTGCCGTCGTTGTTAGAAATTTGAAGTTTACGTTTAAAATCAATATGATAATCATCTAGCATAACATGAGCTTTACCAACTATGGATGCCTCTTCGATAATCATGTTCTCTACATCCGAATACAGACGCCAGTCTTCCGCTTCGAGCTCCGAACAGAGGTCTGAATTGGAGTTCCACATCCACTGAACACGAGTGAATCGTTTGCTGAATGCAGATGCGGCACAAGCCATGAACGCTGTCTTTTGGTTAATATCAACTGGTGTACTATAAAAAAAAATAATTTGAAATTCCTTTAATTTGTTGAAAACACTACACATCTAAGCAACCTAACTCAGAAAGATGACCAATACAGCTCAACAAATGATCTCTGAATTTTTTAAAAGTGACTTCGATTTAGGAGTAGCATAGTGTTAACTTTTTGAAAATGGTGCGAATACGGGTCTAATTGCCTATCAAGATTAGTTCGTACCCACATACTAATGCATACAGGATTACAACTGATCTATCTAATATTGATACCTCGTACCTGAGAGCAACAGAGAATCGAATAAATGCATAGTTCGATTCGATTAGCATCAACGACAACTGAATCGATTACGGGTGTGGGTGCGTGTGGGGTAAGGCACGAGTGTGGATGTTTCTCTTCGTGACATACACCAATACCCTCACCTACATTCTGAACTATAAACTGGGTTCGCAGCAGCCCTTCAAAAATATATAGGAATTGTTAGATCTCAAATATATAGGATCGTCCTCGGATATATAGGAAATATATAGGACGCTAATATTTCGTTTAAAAACAACTAGACATGTAAAAATCACTACTGCAGAATGGTAGG